AGTTGTAGTTGATTCGCCCCTTATGTTATGGATCGTCTCGCGCTTAGTCACTCACGGGATTCGGATACGGGGGTAGCAAGTCTTTTCTAAAAAAACTCGCAGTTCTACCCCTATATATATATATATATATATATATATATATATATATATATATATATATGATTTTTTAGATACTAACTCTTGTAATTGGTCCTTCGGGTACATGCAAAGGGTAAGTAGTTGAATTCATATCATTGACCATAGTTGCAACCGCTATTTAAGAGAATCTCAGTAGTTCTTCTATCGTTCAAGGGTAAGGAGAAAACATGTAGCGGCTTGCCTAGATCTCGTATTTCCCACATAGTCCAGCGGTCAAACTAAGGATTCTCTTATCAAAGTAATATAGAGATTCTTTTTCTTTTTCTGGTATGTAGCTCCGCGAGCTATGAGCATTATTAGGGAGAAAACGAAGATAGGATCATCATCATGGCTCTTTTTTTCTTTCTTTTGTTTGTGTCTGGCTTTAGCTAAAAAGAGGTGTGTGTGTGTTTTTTTTAAGGCTTATCTGAGGGCTGCTGCTCTGGGGCATCCAATTCCTCTTTTTTCTTTTCGTGCGGATCTCACATCCAGAGCAACTTTTTCTTGTTCAGGGTCATCAAATGAGAGATCTTCCTCTGATTGCGAGAAATCGGTCAAGCGGGGGGCTACGCTCTCCTCTTCGAGTCGAGCTACTTCCTCCCTCTCCTCACCTCTCGAGATATATATATATATATATATATATAAACTCTTCCCAGAGGAGAGCAGAAGCTCCAAGATGAGTATGTCCTAGATTCTCAAATTCATTCTCGTCTTGATCCACCATAGAATTTTCTAAATCTATAAAAATATTGATGGAGAGGAAAGAAAAGATTATTGACCAATATGGAGAGGAACGAAGGTGCTTTATCGATAGGGAGAGGGCTCGTAATGATCTTTGAGAAGATCACAAGGTGTTGATAGGAGGGGGGATCCATAGGTTTTTGTGAAAGGGATGCCCTGGATCTGACATGTCGCTTGCTGAAAAGAAAATGCGAATTCCTTTATTTGATGTCGATTCATTTACGCTTCCATTCTTTGTAGAGGAAGGCTAACTACTTGCTAGCGGGGAGCTGTATGAGCGGTAACGTCCACGTACGGCTTCGTGAGAAGGGCGGTGGACAGAAATGGCCTTGTTGTACCTCACTTTTGTCATCAATGGGGTCTGCTTTTTTTTTTTTTTTTTTTGGGAGAGTGATATGAATCTAACAATTGGTCACTTCCATGTACCCGAATGAGCAATTACAAGAAGCAATACAAAGAAGATTCAAGTATCAAATCAAGAAAATAGTGGAGTGGCTGACATTGGAAAGTGATTAGAAGACTTGTCATTGTTAGTTGAATTACCAATTAAGACAATCTATGAATACCTTATTTTCTTCGATTTGTATTTAATAGCATTTATTAGTGATTTGTGGTTGGTGGCTAAACTTTATTTTGTTAAGGTTACTTTTTGGACCTATTTAAAGGCATGTAATATTCATGTTTCGGATGAATGCTGGAATACAGACAAAACCTTTGTGTTTTCTTGATACCCTTTTGGTGTTATTATTTTTCAAACATTGCTTTAGGTTTAATGTTTAAACCGATTCATTGAATTAGTTTTGATCAAGCTAATTTTGGAGTGAATTGTCTTGGTATCTAAGAGTGACCATCATAGATTCCAAGTTCGATCTAAGAGTCATTCATCTTCTAACCCGCTCTTGGTTGGAATCAATCCATTAAGTTAGCTTTCTTTGTGAACATTTTGCAAGGATTCTAGAAAGGACCTCTAGCTTTGCAAATTCCAGCATTGTAGGCGCTTATCATTTGGTATCAGAGCTTTTGGTCGACGTTCTTTGGCCGCTCTAGAGGTGAAATATTTTTATTGTTATTTTTTTTTTTATCAATTTTTTCTCTCATATTATCAAAAAAAAAAAAGGAGAGAAAAGTGAGGGGCAAAGGATGAGTGAAAACCAAGAAAGAAAAAAAAAGGTGAGAAAAAAATATATTAGTAAAGAAAAAAAAAACAATATTCAGTACTTGTCCGGAAAGAACGAAGAATTTGATTTGAGGACAAATCCTTTTAAAGAAAGGGAGGATGAGAAAAAAAATATATTAATAAAGAAAAAAAAACAATATTCAGTACTTGTCCGGAAAGAACGAAGAATTTGATTTGAGGACAAATCCTTTTAAAGAAAGGGAGGATGAGAAAAAAAATATATTAATAAAGAAAAAAAAACAATATTCAGTACTTGTCCGGAAAGAACGAAGAATTTGATTTGAGGACAAATCCTTTTAAAGAAAGGGAGGATGATATGAATCTAACAACGGGTCACTTCCATGTACCCGAACGAACAATTACAAGAAGCAATACAAAGAAGATTCAAGTATCAAATCAAGAAAATAATAGAGTGGCTGACATTGGAAAGTGATTAGAAGACTTCCCATTGTTAGTTGAATTACCAATTAAGACAATTTATGAATACCTTATTTTCTTCAATTTGTATTTAATAGCATTTATTAGTGATTTGTGGTTGGTGGCTGAACTTTATTATGTTAAGGTTACCTTTTGGACCTATTTAAAGGCATGTAACATTCATGTTTGGGATGAATGCTGGAATACAGACAAAACCTTTGTGTTTTCTTGATACCCTTTTGGTGTTATTCTTTTTCAAACCTTGCTTTAGGTTTGATGTTTAAACCGATTCATTGAATTAGTTTTGATCAAGCTAATTCTGGAGTGAATTGTCTTGGTATCTAAGAGTGATCATCATAGATTCCAAGTTCGATCTAAGAGTCATTCATCTTCTGACCAGCTCTTGGTTGGAATCAATCCGTTAAGTTAGCTTTCTCTGTGAACGTTTTGCAAGGATTCTAGAATGACCTCTAACTTTGCAAATTCCAGCATTGTAGGCGCTTATCAGAGAGTATGCCAATATGATCTTAATGAGGTGCGGGGCTTTGCATCTGAGATTCGTTGGCCTTCCCTCTTCAGGGGCCTACATCTCGGCGTTTTTGTGCAATAAACCCCTCCAGCCGAAGATTAGTGGTAGGTGGTCCCATGGAGCTTTCAGAGAAGGATAGCCTAGTGTGTAAGCACAACAATGAACCGCGGTGAACCCTCAGAAGACCTATCTAAGATTAGGGGGGAGATCCTTAGTAGTGGTGACCCTTTCACTCTTCCATGGAATTATACATGTACCGAATGCTCATCCGGGAAAGCTGACTCTTGGGTTGGAACTTGGGGGGTTGCTCCGAGAAAACTCCTTTCTTTCTCGTCCACTCAGGTGGGTGCGGACACACCTGCACGGATTACAGGTGACAGTTACAAGAATGAAGGGGAAGTGAACAGTACTCGACGACATTCAGGGATGAATGTAGACACATTCGGCAGGGATAATCATTCTTGTCTTGGGAGAGGTGGGAACCTGATATAAATTCAACTACTGACCCTTTGCATGTACCCGAAGGACCGATTACAAGAAGCAAGGTTAAGAAGATACAAGAGACCTAGACATTGCATCTTCAAAGGCTAGCTAGTGTACAATTTGAGAAAAAAGACTTTTGAGCTAAAAAATCTTTATAGAATTAGCATATCAAATCAAGAAAATAATGGAGTGACTGACATTGAAAAGTGATTAGAAGACTTTGCCTTTGGTAGTTGAACTACCAATTAAGACAATTTATGTATGCCTTATTTTCTTCAATTTGTATTTACTAGTTTTATTTGTAGTTGTAGTTTGTAGTTGGTAGATGAAATTCATTATGTTTGGGTTATCTTTTTAGCCAATTTAAAGGCATGTCATATTCATGCTTGAGCATCATTGTTGAATACAAATAAAACCTTTGTGTTCTATTGATACTTTTTTGGTGTTATTCTTTTTCAAACCTTGCTTTAGGTTTGATGCTTAAACCGATTCATTGAATTAGTTTTGATCAAGCTAATTCTGAAGTGAGTCGTCTTGGAATCTAAGAGTGACCATCATAGATTCCAAGTTCGATCTAAGAGTCATTCATCTTCTAACTAACTCTTGGTTGGAATCAATTCGTTAAGTTAGCTTTCTTTGTGAACGTTTGCAAGTATTCTAGAAGGATCTCTAGCTTTGCAAAATCCAGCATTGTTGGCGCTTATCATTTGGTATCAGAGCATTTGGTCGATGTTCTTTGGCCGCTCTAGAAATAAAATATCTTTACTGTTATTTTTTTTTTCCTATCAAGTTTTTAGTCTCTCTCAGTATATCGAAAAGAAAAAATAGTAGAAAAAAATCAGTAGTAAAAAAAAAAATCAGTTCGAAGGAAAAAAAAAGTATTATGTTCTTATCAATTATTTGAGTTTGTTCAAAATTTTCAAACTCTTGATCCTTGAGCTACTAGTCTTAGCTTGTGAGAGTTGATTGTTGAATTGGTGATAATCGAGCTTAAAGCAAGATTGCAAAAAAAAAAAAAAAAAAAAGCCTTTACCTTCTTGACCTAGTACCAAAAGCCTACCTTTGAGTGTTAAACACGAGTGTCCCTGAGTGAAATTTGTTGCGAAAAGTGTGGAGAGGTCTCTAATATTACTAATAACAAAATGTCACATAATAGAAAAGGAGTAGCACCAATACCAGATCTTAATACAACCATTCTTCGAGCAATTCAAGATATGAGGGAAATGATGATTCAAAGATAATTATTAAAATAGAATAAGAAATATACTCCTATTTAAATATTTTTGTTTACCTTGTTTAGATTAAAACTAAATTTAATAAAGGGTTGGAAATATGTAAATTTAATACGATCTGAGTAACTAGAAACAACTAAATAAATACTTAAATAACATTCTATTTTTATATTAAAAAAATAGTGAGCGTTACCAAAAAACACGGCCATCCTTTCCTAGTTCTACGTTATAATTTCGATTTCTACGTCATTATCTCTCTCAGGCGTATAAATAAAACAAAGAAATCTAAAATCCATGCAATCCCATGGCGCCTACCATATTTCTCGTTCTCGCACTACTTTCCATCGTCGAGTCCACCGCCGCCAAAGGCGGTGGTCTCAAGCTGGAACTCATCCAACGTCGACTCTCACCCGGCAACGTTTCACCGATGGCAGCCAAATCACAAATTTGGCCGGAAACCAGCGAATTTATAGTGAAAATCGCCGTCAGAACGCCGCCGACGGAGGTGCATGCAATCCTCGACACTGGCAGCGATTTATTTTGGGCTCAGTGTCGTCCATGTGCGAAATGTTACCGGCAAACGAATCCGATTTACGACCCTTCGAAATCGTCAACCTTTCAAACCCTTTCTTGCAAGTCATCGCAGTGCCATTTGAGGGGGTTCGGTGCGGCGTGCTCTGGCACCGATACGTGTAAGTACGGCTATGGGTATGGAAGCGGATCTACGCAGGGAGAATTGGCGACTGAAAAAATGGCTGTAACTTTGAGGTCAGGAGCGACGACGCCATTTTCTGGGGTGGTGTTTGGTTGCAGACATAATAATAGTGGAACGTTTAATGCCAATGAAATGGGATTGATCGGATTTGGAAGAGGAGTGATTTCCTTCGTTTCTCAGGTATATATATATATAGATATATATTATCACTTTCAATTATTATTAATATTTTAAAAAACATTATTAGCATCATAAGTTTTGGAGTGAAGGCGGTCGAGATTTCCGTTCGAATCGGAGTTTCAAGAAAACATGACTTTCGGTAAGAACTCGTATTTTTCTTCAAATTCAAACTCAAATAATAAGACGTGTGATTACTAAAACAATATAAGAAGAATATATGGTAGAAATAGAATATGAGATCTACAATATTCATGAAGTGATTCGGATTATGGATTGAAATATATAAAAATCTAAAGAAAATGGATCGAGAACGCTAAAAACTCACGTTTCTCGAAAATTTTAGAAAAAATGCAGGAGGAGAGAGAAGAGTGTTAGGATCGCACAACAACGCACACGCTCGATCTAGATGAACACAAAGAACAGGATAGAGAAAAGTGTAAGGAGAACTCTGGCTAAAAGGAGGTAAGAGAGAATTACAGAGAATAGAAAGTACTTCAAAGCTCTATCGGGATATATATATATATATATATATAGTTCAGTTTACTATATATAGCTTTACTAGATTTAACCATCTACTATATATAGTTATTTACTATATATAGCTTTACCCGACTTAACCATCTACTATATATAGCTATTTACCATATATAGCTTTACCGGATATAGCTTTACCAAATATAGCTTTATCAGATATAACCGTTGACCAAGCTATAAATAAGCAGCAGGCTCCATAACCTAACCAAGAGCACCGCCAAGCGTCGGCCGGCATACGGAGGAGCGCAGCAGAATCGATGTTGGACACGTGGCGCATTCCGGCTGGTGAGGCGTGCCCTGCACGCTTGGCACACGCGTCAGGCAAGCGGATTGGGGTTGGACCGAGTTCGAACTGATGCTCTACACGTGACTCGAGAACGCATGAATCAGACCGACGCTCCAACCTGGGTGCTGCCCCGCGACTGCGCTGGAAGTCGCGCGTAGGAAGCTCTCCACGGCTCGTGTAGCGCGTGAGTACTTGTTTTCCTTCTGTTTGGTCTCCGTTTGCTTGTTTTTCGTCTCGATTTTGATACCGACCCTATTACTATGTGAATTGGGACTTGTCAAGGATGCCCATTATATGTCTCACAATTCCATTGCCTCTTTTTGATCTTGCATCTATAGTCTTTTTACCCTGGTGGATTTCTTCTCTCTTATTTACTAAAAGTATGGAATCTTGGGTTATGGTCGAATGCTGGTCAATCCGAAAGTTTGTTGAATGATTCAATCTTCTATAAAAGTTCATAGAATTGGTGGAGGAAATCCTCTTTTTGGACGAAATGATCAAAGTTCGGAGACACATCTACAATCCGGTGCGCCTATAGGAATCCACAAAGAAAGGATCCAATTAATCAAGATACATAATGAAGGTCTTATCCATAGGATTTTGCACTTCTCAACAAACAAATAGAATATGTTTTATTATTCTAAGAGGTTATTCTATTTTAGGGAATGAACACTTGTTATTCTTCACTCTTGGGCTCAGGAATTCCTATCTAATTTCAGTGATACAGTCAAAGCGATTCTTTTATTAACAGATTTATGTATCAGATTTCATTCACCCCACGGTTTGGAACTAATGATTGGTTCTATCTACAAAGATTTTTGGTTTATTCTGATCAAATTATATCAGGTCTTGTTTCCACTTTTCCAGTTATTCTCGATACTATTTGCAAATCTTGGATTTTTCGTTATTTAAATCATTTATCTCCGTCACATTTAGCTTGTAGTTATTTCTCATTCAATGAATGATTGATAAATGATCTATCTACCGATATTATGAAAATCAAAAGACGCATGTTTCAGACTTTTTAGTTCTACATAAACTCAAATCCTATACGGAGGATTTTCATCGTTTTCATCCTAGAGAAGCGACTGGGCATATTGTATGTGCCAATTGCCATTTAGCTAGTAAGCTCGGTGGGATATTGAGGTTCCACTTTCTGTGTTCGAATTCCTCTTATGATAAGGAAGTGAAACAAGTTCTTGCTAATGGTAAGAAAGGGGGGGTTGAATGTGTGGGCTGTTCTTATTTTACCGGAGGGGTTTGAATTAGCTCTTTGCGATCGTATTTCTACCGAGATTAAAGAAAAGATAGACAATTTGTCTTTATAGTTCAATCGCCTTTCCTTTCTATTTTCATTCCCTTCGCTGAATCTTTCCCTTACCCTGACCTTCACATGAATGGATTGATTGGGGAAGGAAGGCCGTTCGAGAGTCTGATTCCGCTTTCACTCTTCTCAAGGAATGAGGCCACCAAACAAAGGGGAGTGCTTGCTTTTCCTATTAGACTTAATAATAGCTCCGCAGATCTTTTCATGATAGAGGAAGGGTCCGAAGGAGATTGCAAATCCGAACCTAGCATCGAATGAAAGAACTTGCTGACAAAGAGAGAACTGAGAGAGAGTGAAACTGATTGGGTTTATCTCAGGCTAAGGCCAACTAAGCTGCATTCAGTCAAGGTTCAAGCCCTGGCTGACTTTACTTAAATACTGAAACAACTCCCCTTTTCGTTAGCTCATTTAATAGCTCATCGGACCAGGAGACCGGTAAGCCAAGAGCAGAGAGTTTTTGATAAGCTTAGAGCTCCTACCTCCACAAGGGTTATTCCAACAAGACTAGAGAACAATTGGACTAGGCCCGCCCACTTACTGATTCAACAAGGCTTACTGATATGCCATCATTACGTATACGATCACTCTAAAAATGGTTCCTCCTCCAGCAGCCCTTAAACCACTCTCGTCTTTTCGCCTTATTTCTGCAATTGAATTTGAATCAGTCATACTAAGTAAGGCAAGCTTTTGAATTGATCTACAAGCTTAGAACTAGTAGCAAGTTTTCTAAAAGAACCTAGAATCTTATTTCACCGAATACAATTAGAAGTTGTTTGAACTCCTACTACTCTTAGATTAAGGCATAACGTAAACCTTGTCCTATTCCATGCTTCTGATTCAATTGCTAACAGTGGCAAAGAGCCTTTTTCTATTAGTTTCACAGCATATTCTGTAAAAGAAAGCAGATTCATTTGATTCCCTCCATCCATCACATCTATCATCGGTTTTGATTGAGCAGCTAGGTATTGCACCTTCACGTTTCTGTCAGGCTCCCTCACTTCTTGTTCTACCTGGTCTAACCTAAGAAGATGTGCCAAAGTGCTTATTCGAGAACACTTCTTTCACAAACAACCTATCCGCTCTTCCTGGTGCTCTCACTTCCTTGCTTCCAGGAGCATAATGATAATATAGTGCTGCGTAGTTGAAGGGGACAGAGATGTGGAGATGGCGAACCACTACCGCTAGGTGCTAAGGCTTCAACAAGTGAATGAGGAAGACCGACGAATAGACCGCCTTTCCCAACAAACAAAGGGAAGGGGGAAGAGTTCTACCAAACATCGGCTTACAGAAAGGAAAGAAGAGCTGCTTGCGCTGAAGGACAAACTAGAGGAAATGAGAGACGATTACCACTGCGAAGAAGATCAATGGAGAGGCTTCGAAGCCAAAACGATTTTAAGTTCTCTATTCCACTTCGTATTGAAAGGAGTCTGGTCGTACCAAGAAGTATAAAGAAATACTGAGCAAAGGTATGGCTCCCTTAACGCAGTTCCTTAGAGAGGAAGAAAAGCAAAGAGTAGATCAAGACTTCGATCGCCAGTGGCAGGGGAGGCACTATACTTTGCTAAACAAATAAGGTGCCAAGGAGCAATAGAGCCCGCTAAAGAAAGAGTTCCAACCCAGTGATTCATTCCGGGTCGAAAAATGTGAAAGTACAGTTTGCTAGGGTCTGAAGGGGCGGTCCAACTAGCTATTTACAATAGTAGGAAGGGCATTGGGAAGGCCAATCCATTTATTCAAGTGAACTAGATCATAAGGATAAGGAAAGACTCTATAATAAGCTCCTACAAGAGAATGGGAACAAAAGGGCCGAGCTAGGGGACCACTATAAGAAGAAGATTGACTTCCTGTCGAATAGAGAAGCTAACTGAGTAGGGCGCAAGCGATCGACTAATCAAGGAGCTATCCTCCAAAGGCCGCTTCCAGCTGCTTCTCTCCTAATTTATTCTTCTCGTAACCCAATGGCATAAATGGATAGCTTCCTTCTCGAGTCACCCTTAGATTCTCATTAAGCAAAAGAGGAAGTAGAGTCTTTGGTTGATGTAGGCATTGAATGAATTGAAAGCTCTCATGTTCCGGATTGTTACTGAATTGACTCTCTCTCCTCCCCTGGAAAGAAAGGTTCTTCAAATAGCTTTACCTTGGGAAATCTGTCTCATGAGTTCAATCAGGTAAAGAGGAAGTAGTTAAGTGGAATGAATCTCTTTTCTTTTAACGACTCTGACTCTAAAGGATAGATAGTAAAAGGAGTTAACAAGAATGAATAAAGAGGAAAAGCAAAGGAAGAAGACGCAGACAGAGTAAAAGAGAGTTCGGGATCATTCTTGCTTGTTTCTTACATTACAGTCGAGTGAGTGAAAGAAAAGGGTCTCGGTTCAGTCTAATGAATAAGGAAAGTAGGGTTAACTTATGAATTACCTTGCTTGTGATGAAAGAGTGAAACCTGGTTCCGGTTCCTTTATAGAATAGAAGCTGATAGTTTAGAAGGGTCAGTCTCATTAATGATTCTTCTTCTGTAGCGCAGCGAACATCCTTTCATTTGTTGGAGAGGTATAGGAGTTGATGGTGTTAATATAACACACGCAGAAGCAATTTGGATCTTAGGCACTTTTAGAACATCAATTATTGTAAATAATGTAACAACCTAAAATAATGATAATATGTATTTTGTATTTATTTGTTGTGTGTTTGATGATGATAATAATAATAATAATAATAATAACAATAATAATAATAATAATAATTATAATAATAATAATAATAATAATTAAAAAAAGAAAAAGAAAAAAAGAAAAAGAAAAAGGAAATCGAAGCAGCTGCGTCAAGCAACTGCTGTAAAGGAGATGAGGGGCGGCGGACGCGTAGGCTGGAGGCGTGGGATTGATGAGTGGATTATTAGAGGATGTGGAAGCGTATTAGGGCCTTGATTAGGTTTTAAAAAGGAAGAAAAACGAAGAATAGTGATTATAAAAAAAACCCAGAAAACAGA